GTGGGAATATCACTCCCCTTACCGTCAGACTATTTCAACTCTATCTTATGTCAATGGGTTACATTCAGTTCCATGAATGGATTTGTTGTATACATTTGTAGCGCCACCCCCTTAAGGATGGCCTATGGTTTGCGTTTATCCCTCTACTCATATAACAGTGATATGCACCATTCAATATCCATTAGACTCCCACTCATACGCTTTGATCTCATATCTTTTCTGCATTCCAACTCATTGTAAGCTGTTGTTCCGGAAGTTTAGTCCAATCATAGGCCCACATTCTCAGCTGGTTGTAGCAAATATTTAGCCCCTCCATTACGTTTCGTTCAATGCCCCTGACCCTGAGCACCAGTTATCCTTATGTGTGTGTCCAAAGTTTGAACATCGTTCAAACTTTGGACATACCCATGGTGTTAACTTGTACTTCATAGGCCTGTACATGGACCGCGCATACTTTTCCTATAAATCCTGTCCCCATCAACACTATCATCTCAGGCTGGAGACATTTTGTTGCATCGGTCGATAGTCTCCAACTCCATTGTAATACAAACTGTTTTGTTATCTCACTCCGTCTCCATCATCTCCGTTGCGATCAAAATTCGCTCCATTATATAATCTAACATTAGAATTTTTCATTCGTATATTTGTTCAATTTCAAAGACTGGTTCTACCTACATCGCTAACGCTTCTCTTAATCTTCTACTGTTTCTTATCCTTCTGCGAGACGACACATAGATATAGACGCACCAACTTACCATGAATCGATCACCTAACCGAGTGTCGAAACCTTCCACAAATGTCGGTGGAAAGAGAAAGAATCATCCATTTATTATTGCTTCTTTGTTTGACGTGTTTGAAAACGTGAGATTTCCTGTTTCTCATGGTCAGTGTGATGACGAGCTGATGCTTTCGTGCGTAGGTTGGGCCTGAAGTCAGCGGGATGTATGGTCTTTGCCATTCTCACACTACCGTAGTAACTAGAAATGAATCTGGTGAATCAGTTGAATGGGTAATCAAGTGTGTTGTGTATGGAGGTACCGATATTATTCTTGACATCGACGGAGTCTATTTCCTCAAAGGCCGATTGTTAGCTTTGAACGAGAAAGACACTCAAAAGTTTTATTATGAACCCGATTATCAACTTTTAGCTAATACCTCCGAGAACCTTCCATGCAATTTGGCTAATGGGGTTAGCGTTACTGGTCTGGGTGTTATCTTTTCGCGTACTGTTGATTCCATTGAACCCGGCAAAGAAAACATCTTTCTGGTTGTCAGACATTCTGACTACAACCCTGAAGTAAGCATGATCTCTTCCTTCTTTACATTAATTTTAACTGAATTTGGTGTTAGATTCACGCCCAATCTGAGTTCAAGGTTGAATATCGGGCGATGTGGTCGAAATTGATGGAGAAACTTCAACCTTTACTCACTGAAGGTCGTGAGGTAATGCTTACTGGTCATATTGTAGGCCGAAATGAAGAAACCCACATGTGGATAGTCCAAGTTGAGTTTATGTTTTTCAATAAATTTTGTCTGACAAGGTACACTATATTCACCATTTACCTGTTATGTAGTTAACGGGTGTGAGTGTGACAAGCGGATCAGAGAACATTTCTCCACCCGTTATTACGGAAGGTGCCTCTTCTTGTAACACTCCGCGTGGCCGAAAGAGAGCTAAGATGTAAGCGTGTATAGCCTCTTCCTTTTGTCTTTTGTTTACCGTGTGATGTTTTAGGGTCTTCACGGATGCCGATGCAGCAGCTCCAACTGCCTCAACTTCCTCAATCGGTCCACTCTCCTCTCTTGAAGATGATGTTTCATCCAAGGCCAAAGGAAAATCTCCTTGGAAACCAGTTTCCGCCCGGGGTGTAACTAAACGTACCAAAGGAGCTACATCTGATGTGGAACCATGAGCATATAAATTTGTTCTCAATGATTGGTCTTCGGCCATGGGTTGTCTCCTTGTCATGGTCAAACTTTTTATCATCGTTTGTTTCCAATTTAAGTGTTGCCTCATGTAGCCCTCGCATTTATCATTTCTATCACCAGACTCATTGGCCTCTATTTCAAACCCACTTGAATCTAATTAACCTAGCTACAGTTTAACGTCAAAGCGAGCTGTTTTTGTGAAATAACAATATGAGATGTCCCTTTAATCCCGTTCGCAGAACTTTGATTGTTACCTGCACTTCGTGATACCCATATCCCCAATTCATTCTTTGAAATATGAGATTCACTTATAGGTCTCATGCTTCACATTTGCCCAAGAAACGATTACCCGTAAATTTCACGCGTTACAATCAAATGAGGGAGCCTACATTTCCATCATTTTACTTGCCGTTCAACCCCGGTAAGTAAAAATTGTGTAAATGTAAAGTTGTATAAGTGTATTGTTAGGTTTCACCACTCCAGGTTGCATGCGTGGAAGAAATAGGACTTTTTTTTTCTACGTGTTATGTTAATCCTATATCTCATTGCTCTGTTGGTGCGTTGACGCTCTTCGAAAATATCACGTTAATTCCATTCGTTTTGATCGACTCCACACTTCATTTTCGTATTTACATTCTTAATCATTACTTTGAAACTACAATGTCTGTCCCGCCTGGTCCAGCTGCTGCCACAGTCGCTTTGAACAATGAAAGAGACCTTTTGAAATGTTTTCATCCGCACATCCCGCATAAACTAGGACCTGCAAACATTGTATGCCGCTTCTGTGGTGCTCTACGATGGCCCGAAGAAAGAACAAAGGTTGAACAAAAGGCGAACTCACAAATCTTTTCGAATTGTTGTAAACAAGGCGATGTAACATTACCGCTGGCTTATTTTGAGGAGGCATTGCTTCCTGAACCGTTGATGAAATTATTCACTGGATCTGATGAAAGTAAGCAAATACATTATCTGTCTTTATAACAAGGCTGACCTCTGCCCTCAGTTGCCAAGGAATTTCAGAAGAATATAGCAACATACAATAACATGGTCTCGTTTGCCTCTCTAGGTGCAAACATTGACAACTCGGTGAACGGACAAAAAGGGACTTATTGTTTTCGCGTCAATGGACAACTCAGTCATAATATTCCATCGCTCATTCCCGCGGACGGAAATGAGGCCTCTTTCGCACAAATTTTCATTGCTGGCGATGGCGGAGAGGGGGAGTTAGCTTTAAGGGCCAGTAAATTAGATAATCCCAAGTTTAAAAAGCAAAAGAAAATCCAGAAAGACACCTTACGTCTACTTCAAGACATCATCAATAAAGAAAACCCGTATGCTGTATTTCTTAAAGGTGCAGCTGACGTAATCAACTCGGATGAAACGGCTCGAGTTATCCTGAAGAGTCTCGCACCAGGGAATCGTGAGATGAAAACTTACAATAAGCCGAGGCCTGAGGACGTTGCTGCATTAGTCCGAGGAACCGGAGAAATCGATAAAAGGCCCCGAGATGTATTAGTTAGACACAAAGACGGATTCATGGATCACATCACTGATCTCAATTCAGGCTACATGGGGCTGCGATATCCTCTGATGTTACCATACGGCTCTCAACAATGGGATGGTATGTACGAGTCTCCAACCAAAGGAACGAACCCTAATTGTAAGTTCATGATTACTAGATTCCAAATATCATAATATTGACAGACTTTGTTTGCAGGTAAGAGAGAAAATTATACCGTCTCGGACCTCCAATGGGCTGCGTGGTTGCTTTTTGAAAGAGAAAACAAATTCTCACCTTTCATTCATGGACGACGGTTAACTCAATAATTGATCATTGACTTTTACCTTTGCGTCGAAAGGAACAATCTCAGATGGGTTAGGCAAAATCAGAAAAAGATTAAGGCTGAGTCTTACCAGGGAATAAAAGAAGGTTTCAACAACCCCGCTGGGACAACGGGAAGGTCTATTATCCTTCCTTCTTCTTTTCATCCTGGTCCTCGGCATATGAGCGAGTTATATCATGATGGAATGGCCTTAGTACGAGAATATGGGACCCCCTCATTATTTATCACCATGACGACTAATCCTGAATGGGAGGAGATAAAAAGTGAACTGAAATATGGGGAAACAGCGCAGGACAGGCCCGATATAGTTGCAAGGGCTTTTCACCTGAAGTTGACAAAACTGTGTGAAGAGCTACTAACACTACAAGAAACATAACATTTTCTGGGCAGAAAATTCAATTATTTGTATACAAAAATCTGGAAAGGTCAGAAACAGAGCAAAAAATATGAAAAAATGTGCATTCTGTTCCTTGGTTTGAGATCTCCAATCTGCATATTTTTCCGTATTTTTGGGGTTCATATTGGTGAGTGTACTAACAATAAACCCTCATAATCACCAGATTACCACCTGTAACAGATGCTGGAATTTGGCTGATCAATGCTGAGAGAAAATTTTGATTACTACAAAACCCCATAACTTCGTCAATTCTGGCTCAAAACACTCGATTTTGAGTGCATTGGAAAGCTGGTATTTGCCTGAAGATAGTTCATAAATGAACCAAATACGTGGCGGGCCTGCAAAGAAAGATATCCCCAATGAAATCAAATTTCACATATCATCGAATAGAATGTCAGCCATTGGGATTACACATTTTGAGTCACAACGAAAGTTGTAGTTCAGGAATTCAGCTTTCTAATGCACCCAAAATCGAGTGTTTTGAGCCAGAATTGACAAAGTTATGGGGTTTTATAGTAATCAAAACTTTCTCTCAGCACTGATCAGCCAAATTCCAGCATCTGT